TCAGAATATTTTTCTGTGTATGTACATCCCCTTTCCTACCGCTTGGATGGGTTATCATTTTGAAGCTTGTAGGGCCTAGAAATCCGAATAAATCGCTCAACTACATCTGACTGTACAACAGTTTGGAAATAGTGAGGAAATCATGACCAGACCCAATTTTAAGATTACCTTCAAATTTTAAGCTTTCGAGCAGGAACCTTCCTTGTTCTCTGTTTGCACAGTGCCTAGTTCAGCAGTTTTTTTGGGTCCTGTTGTCACTAGGGGTCCTAAGTTCTACAGCAATACAAATAATAAATAAAAAATAATAATACATAGTATATGATCAATAATAACTACTTTATACCCTGTTTTTCAAAGACACACTGCACCCCAGCAAATATTTGAAAAATATGGTAACAAAGTTACCAGAGTTTCAAGACAAACGCAATTTGTTTGATGCAAATATTTACCCTTAAGGTTCAAGTGGCTGGGAAACTCCTTAATGGTATCGCTTCACCAGCACCAAAAAGAACACAGACCAGAGAGGTGTAACTGGCTCATGCACAGCCTTGGGAGTCTAGCAGAGACTGGGAGCAAACCTTGTGTAGAAGCCGAGGCAGTGAATCCATGAACAGCTTCTCACCTCCACCATCTATTTTCACGCTAAAAGGGGCTACATATGGGAAAAGAATTCCAGTGGTTTGTGGAGTGTTTTTTATGTCGACCTTTTCATTTGGAAAAACAAATAAAAGGAAACAGATAACAGTAGACAAATTGTAATGAATCATCTCATATATCCCCCCTATGGCTATCTCATTTTTCCCAAACGACTGCTGCATGAAATTAAAAAATTAAAGACTGGGATTTGAGAACAAAATTATAAATTAAAAAAGAGACATTTAAAAGAGAATTTCCTAAGGGTTTCATTCCTTCCCCACTCTGCAGTAAGGAGAGCAAAAATACAATCCAAAAGAGGAGAGAAGTAGTCAGAGGGGATTAGAAAGTCCAGTCTTTCAGCCTGTCTCCCATTTCGCTAATTTTTACAGTAGGTTATTTAAGAAGCAGTAGATGTTCCGAGGGAAAGCAGGCAGCAGCAAACACAGGCATCGTCTCCTCCTTCCAGCGAGGTCTGCGCAATCTCAGTCTCTTGCTCCGGGAAGGAGAGGTTTTCCTTCCCACACTTGTTACTGCCTTCCAGTGTGGGAGGGGGGAGAAGGGTCTGCCAGAGCTTGGGGTCTGGCATTTCAGAGACTCCTCTCCCTCCACTGGGCTAAAAGGAACTCAAGTATTCCAGTGCAACCTCATATACAAATTTATACTGTTCCTGAAAGAGAGAACAGAAATGAGTGGCTTTAGGAATACAGGTAAATTTGTCAGAGCTTCACTCTACAAGGTGCCAAAAAGGCCTCCTCCCTCCTTCTTATACCATTTGCCAAGACCAAGCAAACATTAATTGCATTTCTATGTGATCCTGAACAAGCATTACTAAGAGACGGTATCATCAATGGAAGAGAAAAACACTCAGAGACAGCCATGGCATGGGCTATTCATTATTTGCTTCAAGCCCTCATTGCACGCATTGTTTTTGAGGAAAGAATTCAGTGTGATCGATTGCGATGACTGAATTCAGGACAGTTTAATCTCTTTGGCTGCAGGGAGCAAGGCCTGGGCTTGGGACTGTTCTGCCTTCCTGGATTCAAGGCATGTCACAGCACTAAGCACCGGGCTGTACATGTGACAGGAGGACAAATCCCATCCCATCCCAAGCTGTAGGTGACAGCTACTCGGGGTTTAACCTCTCGGAGGCAGCTAGGCAGCGTCCATCACACTGCCAGGGCAGCTGATCCCCCTCCACTCAAGGAGAGAAGCAGGGGGACCAGAGGATCCATTACACCTCCTAAAATGGGACTGATATTAATTCTGACAGTTTCATGTTATGATTATAGAATCACAGAATGGTAAGGGTTGGAAGGGACCTTAAAGATCATCTGGTTCCAACCGCCCTACCATGAACAGGGACATCTTCCACTAGACCAGGCTGCTCAGAGCTCCATTTTGATGCATACTGGGCTAAGCCATGACATTTTTTTACCTCTCCTAAAGCCCCCCTGTATAAGCTGAGTGGGGTAAGGAGCAGGAAATACAACTTACCAGTGACTCCACCATGTTGGATTTGTTATTCCGTAACGTTTTCACTATGTGGAACACATCGATGATATTTTGCTGTTGAATCATTTCGCACACGCTGCAGATGGCACAGAAGGTGCCGCTGCGTCCCCCACCATTCCTGGGTGCAGAAGAAAAGAGGCAAGAGGTGAAGCCAGGTAAGGCCGAGGGAACAGAGGAGAGCACTGCTTACACACCAGCTCCCGCATCGCATACACTACGGAAGCTCTGTGACGTAAGGACTGGGTAAGGACGTTCAAGGGTTTGTGAAACTGGAGACCCGCTCAGCAGAGGACAGGGATGGGAGGGCTGAGCTGACCCCTGGCAGCGGGGACAGGGAAGCCCCAGAGACTGCAGTGCTGCTCCTGGCTGCTCTGGGGCTTGCAGAGCTCTGGGGTCGGAGCTGGGCACCTGGCAGTGCCGCTTTGGCTGTGCCTGGGCTCCAGTCAGGAGACCTACCTACACAACAGCAAGCTGCAGAGCCTGTTCAGCTACTCCTCACCCACCACAACCGGCAAAATCTCTGGGCCAAGATGCTACAATGTAGCACAATATTTAACTTGAAGTGTATTATAAAGGTAATTTAGCTTAATTTTCTCCAGCTGAAGCCTGGCAAACCACCAAATTTCCAGATCCATAATCAGTGCTCTTCACACAGCATTTCGTGATGTTCCAGACAGTTTCCAGTCCTACTTACAGGCAGTGGACAACAGTGCGTCCGTCTCTCCCGTCGTACTGTTCCTGCCACTTCTCCAACCTTCTGACCACCTTCAGGAGGGAGCGTTTGGAAGGAGGGGTGTCCCTGTATGCTGGCCAGCCAATGTACTGCAGGTGCTGAACTATGCGATACCCATCCTGAGGCTAAAACAAAGAGCATTCTGGAGATGTTAAAGGAAACGGGGCAGGAAGCAGCGAGGTAGGGTAAAGCAGAGGGCACCGGTTACACAGCATCGTCCTCTCTGGATCCGATATGGTCAATGTTAACCCCCTTCACTCTGGATACCCGATACAGTGGGGAAACAAGGACTTTTCGGTAATCTGGGTAACAATGATGACCTTAGAAATTACAGAGTCAGGCAAAAACCAAGGGCACAGCATTCCTTGGTTGTTTCCAGTAGAGAATAAAGTCTCATTAAACTGTATGAATAGATGAAGTAAGTCTTTGCCTGTGCTGGAGGTTAGTTGTGCCATAAGAACTAAAGGCAATGGCAGCCCTCTAAAAAATCTCAGGGGACTGTGGCAGGAAAGGATCCTCATAAAGATTTTAGTAGTGGCCATTGGTGGTAAACACAGATGGGTGCCGAGTTCACAGCATCCACCCTGCCAGACACACAGTTACAAGCCAGCTTCAGCCCGAGAGTCACAGAGCCTTAGCCTGATTAGCTATAGGACTTCCAGGCTGCACCTGGTTCACAGACAGCTGGCCTGGGATCTAGGAAGGCGAGTGTCTACCTGACCTATCTATTCGCGTAGCTGGACCACAAGGTTCACTCTGCAATGCCACGACTGAATTGCTGCACAGGCTCTGACCAAACCCCGAGAGACTGATGGGTTAAACAACATGGAAATGTAATTTGTGGAGCCTGCATCCCTTCCTGATTAGAAAAAATGAAAAAGGAACAAAAAAGGAGACACAATCAATCTGGTAAACAACAAATGAGAGAAAAATCCTCTACTGAAAGCCTTTCCTACAGTCCTGAAGTTGCACTGCCAGGGTCCAGCATGGAGATAAACTTGGTTTCTGTCATTTCAGCTGTCCTGGGGCTAAGTGATACAGACAAAGAGTTGTTTACAGAAATGGCAGTTGCTTATTTACAGGAAAAGCAGCGGCAACTGGGAATCCCAGTCTAGCCAGTAAACGTTGCATCTGTCTTCAGAGATGCTGTATAGCAGCTGACAGATGGGAGAGCTGCTGACACTATCCCAGTTTGCTTCCTACGATATTGATGGTGTTACACGGGCTACTAAGTGATTAATTGTTCTCAAATAGACACAAAAAAATGCATTCCATTTAAATACAGATTTTCAGTTTCTATCATCCACTTTCTAATTTCAGCCAAGAGTCTTTTGCCAATACAGACTGATGCAATTAAACCTTAATTAAAGGAGGTAGCTACTAAATTCTGCAGTGGAATTTTGTTCCTAGGTGGGAGATTCAACAGCTCTAAACCACAAGTCTTGGTTCTGCCTCTTCATCGTGCCAAAGTATATTTTTGAGAATAAACAGGGGAAGTGGTATTTCACTGATCTCACCCTGGCCATGTTGCAGATCCGGAATATCCGGTTGATGATATCTTCATCAATGTCTGCTGAAACAAACTCTACTTGAATTGGGCCGTAACAACAGGACGTCTTCTCTGGCCAGTACTGCATGCAGAGCTGGAAAAAATGCCAAAAGGAACAGAGGTACCTTACCATCAACAAGAAAACATATAATCAGTCATCTTACCTTTCAAATTTACACCCAGTTCAAAATCCATAACCAATCTCATATTATAGGTATCTCCTCAGAGAAGACCACCTCCTAGCTCAGTAAAAATTTTTTGTGTCAGGAATATGAAGAAAAAAATAAATATATTCTAGAAGCTTGACTTCCCCCCCCCTCCCCCTTTTATTTCGTATGAACACAATTTGTAACTGATTGAATTCTAGGGTTTAAAGGTGCAGAAAAGGCAGCTGACAAATGAAGCTTCTGTAGGGGTATAGATTTTAAATGAACATTAACAGATTAGTGTCTGTAGGTAAACTTAATAGGAACCACGGAGGTTTGGTGTTAACAAGGAAACAGTACGTGCACTAAGAAAATTAATTTAACCAAGTGGAACTTCTTTCTCCTGCAAGATGAACTTTCTAGCTTTCTGACTCTATCAGCGAGCAGGGGAGGGAGAATGACTTAGTTCTGAGAGCAGCAAGAGCAGCTCCAATTTTAGGGTGAACCACAACCGAGCCTCTGCAGTTTGTGCAGCGGGTTGGAAGTCTATTTTCTTAACTGATATTACTGAACTGAAAGTATAAAAAAGATCCTATCCACACAAATTACTATCTAGGTATTTTAAATTTGCATGGAAATAGATCATGGTGAGAAAATATTTTGCATGAGATCTCATTAGCAGTTTCTGCTGAGATTGTATTTCTTTCTATTTTTTTCTTCCTATTTTCAAGTGTAATTTTTTTAGAAGTTTTGAAACTCCCAGATGCTCATTTGAACTTGATCTCAAGCTTTTCAAGTTCAATCACTGCCAGTAATAACGTCAAGTGTGTGCATGCTACCGCATTAATTCTGTATTCCTGTTATTCCTTTGATCATATGGGACTGAAATTGGGTGGGATATTCGAGCAATCTCCTGCATCTTTGCCCTTGTTAGTTTTTCAAGATTGAGCAAGCCAGCCAAGACCATATAAGCAAGTCCTCCTTTGAAGGTTGTCTTTACTCTTCATTCAGACTTTCAAGCAGCCTACAGATCTCCTCTCAAAGCATCTGTCCAACAGGCAAGGAGATTTGAGCTGAGCAGGCTCTTCAGGAAACAATCTCAAGATGCATTGGAGAGAAGAAAAAGATTAAACATTTCCCTAATATTAAAAGTCTGCTTTTCATAAAGCAGGTCTGTGAATGGCCATCTACACAAATGTTTATGTATATACAATGCTCAATATGCTCTGCTATGTTCTCTGACCTCCACGTGGTTCTATTTGCACTTTTTCCCTGCATAGTGGATTAAACGTTCACTTGCCTATTTAATTGAACTCCTTTCCTCTCCACAGTTCAGGCACAGCTTTTATCTAAGCAATTTTTGTGTTTGTGTTCTACTCAAGGCGATGAGTAACACGCCCTGCTCATGCACACAAACGCAGTGCTTGCGGGCAGCTGCACACCAACGGTGCTGCAGTGCTCAGCGTACAGCACGTGGATTCGGCAGTGACGAACAGCTAGGCAATTACAACACTGTCACACAATGGCAGTGCAAGCACAACATCCTTAAGTTTCCTTTTTAGAAACCTCACTTCCACAACCGATATCAAACTGTCACACCTTGCCTTGAAAGCTCGTAAGATACCAACTTTGAAGTCACCCTCAACTTCCAGTGCTAGCTGCGTGGTTTTGGTGTTGGCTGCAGACTCGACCCAGGTGACACCATACTAAAATAACTGACAAAGGGACTTCATGTGTTGCTAAACCTCCTTTTCTGCGCCTACAGACTACCTCATAAGAACAGAACTTTGCTAGGAAAAACAAAGCAGGTACAGCCTTGTGCAGAAAGATAGGTGCAAGAATCACACTGGCTGAGGCTGCTAGGTTGGTGTTTTCCAAGAATGAAGTGTGAGCACGTGCATCATCTCCAGAAAAAGCTGTGGTTTCCTTCAAAGTGTCAGAAAAAAGGAAAAGATGAAATCTACCTCTGGATTCGGTGCCACAATGCAGACTCAGGCTGGGTGAATTGGACAGGAGACAGCAAATGCACACGACCTCCAGTTCTTCACCCGTGGTGGGACCCTGCGGGTCACCAGGAGAGCCCACTTCTGGGCTGAGCTCCTACCACGGCTGGAAATGAAATCCCATAGTGTTCACCCTGATGGGAGATCCCCTCAACAAACAGGGATCAGCTTCTCCATTACCATCAAAAAAAGAGACCATTAATCTCGCTGCCTTCAAGCGCGGTAAGATTTTGAAGAGACAAATGAAAAATTAATCCATGAAATACCAACTACTTGAGGGTTCCTCTCTTCATGTTTTAACAGGTGCTGTAATGGGCGAATTAGCCATGCCAAACGTACTCTTCAGACAAATTGCATGATTACGCCTTTTTGAAAGCTGTTATCTTCTGCCACTCATCAGCAAGGTGGCTGGAAATGCTAGTACAGGAGGAACCGCAGCGGCTCCTCCCTCGGCAAGCTCAGCCCCTGAGAACAACGGTGTGTTTCGTAGCCAAGAAACCAACTGGCACTTGACACTGGGAAAAAAAAACCCATCACAGCACAACACGCTTCTCCAGAAACCGTGCAAACCGCACTTCTCAGTACCACAGAATTGCATTGGAAATCTTGGGGAAAAGATCCTTTGAATGATTTCAGCATCTCTCTTGGTTTTACTCTCCTGGAAATGCCATGTAAACAGGCAAGCATGAAGCTCACCGGGGCTGTGGCAGAGAACATTTTTCTGAACTAAAGACAAAACTACGAAAGGGAAGAAAGCAGGTCTGGGAGGAAGAGTTTGGTCCACAAACACGATGTATTTAGGTATCTACTCCCTGAGAAATAGCTGCCTTAGAAGGAACCAAGCACGCATTATACCCCAAAATATTACCTCTTACTTTCCAAGTCCCTTTCATCTATTTATTGGGGGAGGGCAGAGCACAAGAAAAAGGCAGCAGAAATGCTCTTAAAACTATCTGGATTTGAGAAGAAAGTTACATGTTGGAAATGATGAAAAATCACTTACCTGTGCCGCATCCATCTCATTCAGCATCACAACAGAGGAGCAGTTGTAATCAAACACCAGCCTCCAGAAGTCTGCTACGGTGTTGGGCAAAGGGTGTTGGGTTACAATAAAGGCAGCAGGTTGCTTGTGGCTCTAACAAAAGAATAAGATTAGTTAAAAAAAAATTCAATCAACTTTTATTCAAACGAATATTATACCCGGGAGGCTATGGCTAGGCAATCTGAGCCATTTAACCAGATTATACAAATCACATATCCTTCTCCTTGTTATCGCTCTGCAATGAATGAATGTCTCATAATGGGATTCTTTTGCTCCCAATGAAGACATTTCATTAAAGAAGTGTCACAAGAGCAGAGATTACCCAAATCAATTATTTATATTTTGAGACTCAGCAAATAATACTAATTCTACTATTACTACTACTACTATCAGTAATATTAATAATTGGAATGAAAACAGCTGGAAGCAAACGCTATCCTTCTTGTTGCAATGGACTCTAGGAACTACAGCAGGGATTAGCCCCCCCGCCCGCTGTTGCTCCCTGGAGATGTAATGCTACAGAGGCAGCACGTTTGGATCCCAGCCATCCTTTAAGAGCTCGTGGGGCAATATTCAGAGCCTGTGGCACCGGCATTTAATTTCTGAATCTATTCTTTCACCTCAAAAAAGGCTTCTGACCTCAATCTCCCTAAACTACGAATGGGGGGCACTGTGCTCCCCGCCTCCATGGGGCAGCGTTAATGACTGTTTGTAAGGGACTTTGAGATGAAAGGGTACAAGCTCAAAACCTTATCGTGTTCCAGCCACGGCAGGCGATGCTTAGATGAGCCTACAAACCACATAGTCCTTTGTGCTGCACATCTGTGAAGCAGACTTGAATCAAAAAGCACAATATTTCTGGGTAAAAAAAACCCAAAACAGATTAAGATTTTGGTTCAAAGTAAAGAAATGAATAAAACCCCGAAGTATTAAGATGGCAGTTGTGGGGGCTGGCCTTTTCTCCTCCCTACGAGCCAGCTGTGGGTGGAAGCCCTGAGCAGGCCGTGCTGGGAGGGGGAGCAGGGGCTGTGCATGCTCTGCACCAGCTTGCAGCTGCGCGGTGCTTCTGAGCATGCATGTGCAAGGAGAGTGATGGGACATGAAGCAGAGGGAAGGAAAAGGAACAGTTTTCTTAGGAAATGATTAATCTGGAATGGATTTTCCTCTTTCTCTCTACTCTGTATTTCAAGCCTAGGAGCACCAGTACGGGTCAAAAGCCATGTCATACCAGAACAACAGTGGTAACAGTGGCAAATAAAACCATGAGTCCTATTGCTTAAGTAGAGTTAAGAACACCATAATGTTTCTGGTATGTTTTTTTCACTGTGCACTGATATAGCAGATTGCATAATTAGCTAAGCTGTTGGCTGAAGGTAAGATGTGTTTGTGGGTTTTACCATTAGCAGAAAAAAAAAATGTGTCCCACCTGTTTTCTTTGCTACCAGTGAGGAACTGGGTTCACTGTCCTACTTTAAAGGGAAATGCACACAGAGACGTTAATTACTTACGTAAGAGAACATGCATAGGATCTTGGGGGAATGATGATGACAGGAACATGACATGGACTTGTGTCTTTCTACAAGGCCCATGTATTAAATTGCAAACCTATCACCACTTCTGTATGGTTTGACTCAGAGATGTGGCTAAAGTTTCTTTGCTTAAGGATTATGTTTTAGGGGAAGGTGAGGGACAGCATTTCTCCTTTCTTCTTAACAAACTGTTTTGCAGATGCAAACGTGGCTTTCCAATGATGGTCACAGGAAAGAGCCTAAGGTCTGTTTACTCGAAGGGGACAGAGGACCTGAAGAGCAAAGGTCAGGAGTCTTGAAATCTGCTGGAGGAAAATTGCTTCCCTCTGTGGGCTACAGTGGCCCTTTGGCTGTATTCCCAAAAGCTAACTCAAGGTAGAAGAGGCTAGTTTTTAATGCTGTGTCAGTTTGTTGACTGCAAAGTCTCCAGCACAGTTTTAGCTAGGAGCCCAGATCAAGTGTTTTGCCCCCTGAGGGAGGGTTCAAATGGCATTCTATGTGTAAGACTAATTTCACAGAATCACAGAATAGTAGGGGTTGGAAGGGACCTCTGTGGGTCATCTAGTCCAACCGGTGCCCTGTGTGTGTCATCTACCCCACCCCCCCTGCCGAAGCAGGGTCACCTACAGTAGGCTGCACAGGATCTTGTCCAGGCGGGTCTTGAATATCTCCAGAGAAGGAGACTTTTTTGGTGAACACAGTCCAGATCAGCCTGTCAGATTGCTTTCCTGAGACAATTCAGGTTTCCAAACCCAGGCTGTAACCCATTCTAGGTGTACCACCATGCCCTTCCTGCTCTAGCGCTTCTTCCACCACAGCTTCCATGTAATTATAGAATCACGGAAAGGTTTGGGTTGGAAGGGACCTTAAAGATCATCTCGTTCCAACCCCTCTGTCATGGGCAGGGACCCCTTCCACCAGACCAGGGTGCTCCAAGCCCCATCCAACCCGACCCTGAACACTTCCAGGGAGGGGACATCCACAAGTTCTCTGGACAACCTGGGCCAGGGCCTCACCACCCTCATAGTAAAGAATTTCTTTCTTATATCTAATCTAAATCCACCCTCTTCCAGCTTGAAGCCATGACCCCTTGTCCTGTCACTCCATGCCCTTGTCATGCAAGTTTGCTGACGACACCAAACTGGGAGGTGTGGTAGATACACCAGAAGGCTGTGCTGCCATTCAGCGTGACCTGGATAGGCTGGAAAGCTGGGCAGAGAGGAACCTGATGAGGTTCAACAAGGGCAAGTGCAGGGTCCTACACCTGGGGAGGAACAACCTCATGCACCAGTACAGGCTTGGGGTGGACCTGCTGGAGAGCAGCCCTGCGGAGAGGGACCTGGGTGTCCTGGTGGACGACAGGTTAACCATGAGCCAGCAGTGTGCCCTGGCTGCCAAGAAAGCCAATGGGATCCTGGGGTGCATCAAGAAGAGTGTGGCCAGCAGGACGAGGGAGGTTCTCCTTCCCCTCTACACTACCCTGGTGAGGCCTCATCTGGAGTACTGTGTCCAGTTCTGGGCTCCCCAGTTCAAGAAAGATGAAGAGCTACTGGAGAGAGTCCAGCGGAGGGCTACAAGGATGGTGAGGGGACTGGAACATCTCCACTACGAGGAGAGGCTGAGGGA